ACTGGTTGCCATTACTGGTCCTCTCATCGACACTTCGCGTACCTAGCATCAGCTCAGTCGTTCAACCAGCTCGCACAATGGGTGAGACCAAGTCGGACTTTGAGGCTGTTTTGCATATTTGTGATCAATGCTGGTCATGTCAGCAGCGTAGTCATCCTCCCACATCCCTTACAGCTCTTCAGATGTCGACGCAAATATCTTCCCTCAATGTAGTGTCGACTCCGCTGCTCTCTTGCGAGACCCGGCCGCGTCACTGAGAAGCACGCTTCTCCCGCCAGCCTTCATTGGCTGTATCGGCAAGCAATGAGGTCCAGGCTTTGTGAAAAGCCACTGCTCGCACTGACGTTCTGCAATAAGATTGCTCACGGGCACTCTCACTATCCACAGGCGACGCATCTCATTCTTACATGTCGTATAGGCACGAGGGGTAAGTCTCGTGCATCTGACAATCTGGTTCACGAATCACGCCACAATCTTCACCAAGCTTCTTCACATCACCAAAGCTGACTCCCCCAAAGCCTTAGCTTTAAGAGTGTGACGCCGGCCTTACTCACCTAGATTCTTGAGTGCTTCCGTCTGGATCGCGGCCATACGTCCCGCCATCCTGCTGAGTTTCTACCTCGTTGTGATCGCCGGAGGAAGGACCGACAGCTGTTGCGAACCTCCCTTCTTCGATGGCTACCTTGAGGACGTCTCACCTTGTTCTTTCCTTCAGTTGTCCGTCTCTTTTCTATCTTGAGTACACAATGCATCCAACATGGTCAAGGAAGGTAACCTGACTAGCAGGGAACGGAGGCCAGGACTGTGTTTGAGACGCGCGACTGTAGGTTTGTGCAGCAGAAGCACGACTCCGGCGTTGAGGCCCATCAGGGCGATTGTGCGGTCCCTTGCATGGCTCATGTTGCACGGCAGGAAGAATGTCGCACAGCGTACTAGCCCTTCTGAGACATCCTGACGAATGTGAAGAACGTGAAGCAAAGAAAGAATGCTGTACCACCCAGAGCGTCGAGCCCCTTGCGTCCCCGTCTCCAGCTCGTGGATATAGACGGCAATCTCCTCTCAGCGTGACCCAGCTCTTTTGTATATGTGTCTTTCTCACTACTCGTCGTGTCAACCAAGATTCGTGAGTGTAGTCGCTGGTTCTCTTCCGTTATGTCGCCGTCGGTCGACACGATACTTGCCATTTGCGGGCTCGTGGTAGGCTGTGCGCTAGTCATGGCACTCGTGGTCGGAAGGATGTCTGGAAGTTCGTGGCTGCATCGTAGACTCGGGTACGCTGGTACAGGTACGTAACTCGACTCGTTGCTTTTCGGCAGCCACCCATCATCTCGAGCAGCAACAGCTGACGAGACTAGCAGATTATGCTACGTCCGAGGACGTCGAAGCACACCGTCAGGCGGATGAGAGAGCCAGCGAGGATCGTCAATGAAGAAAGTGGGCTGAAGGAAGACGATGGTTATGTTGCACCCGCTCAATACACTGGGGCTGCCGTCGTTGGAAGGGAAATCTCTGGTGCAGCTGCGATGGTCATCGCTGGAGCTGGTATCTGGGGCATTGCCCTCATGTAAAAGTGATGTGGATTATGGCTTCTCACTCGGTCGTGGTTAGGACTTTGGCAAAACAATCTCATGCGTTCATCAGTGTGGCGCTGGACGCTTCTCGTCGGTACGCTTGTTTTATTTTAACCAGGATCTTATCTTCAGATTTTGGCCGGCAATCCTTTGGCGTCTGTCTTCTGTCTACAGTATATGCAACCTCACAATATTATACAAACTCAAGGTTAGTGCGGGCAGTCCAAGCTCGCTAGATAACCACATATGTACGGAAAACCCAGAATCTTTCGTATGTAGCCATCATCGGTATAAACTTGATCTAGTCGGCGTTAAATGCTCAACGTCTTTGAATCCCTTGATCGCCCTTGCCTGATTAGCCATCGTCTGTCTTTCCTGGGCTGCGGCAACTGTCGCAAAGTCAAGCTCGACTTGGACATCGAAAGCCATGCCCACACTGCGAATTTCAACACCTGCTTCTTTTGCCAGCCCCAGATTGGTAACGTAAGCTTAATACTGCGCCAAGCCATTTCGATCAGTTATCCTACCAAGACCGAAATCGCCAATCTACAACAGGTGAGATACAATGACAAAATGAATCCCGTTTGCATTCTGCCATCACGTAGGATGCACGCATGCCTCTGCCGGTCGTCTCAATTCAATCGTTCATCTGCTGGTCTTAGAGGCAGCTACAGAACGTAGCGGCCAAGTCGGAGTTAGCAGTCATTACCGCCAATCAGCAACACAACCACGGTCATCGTCGACAAAGCCAAGCTCAAGGGAAGGCTCGGATGGCTCCTCTTTGTGCCTGACAAAGAGTGGAAGCCAGCCACCGTGTCTGGACAACCGGCGCGGTTTAGTGTTAAGTAAAATGTCTACTACTTTGGTGACTGACAAATGCAATGTGAGCTGTCGGGCCGCACGCTCGTGGCGAGACAGTTGATCAAAAGGCAGTAAGATCTGATCTACAAGTATATCTTTCATACCACGGTAACAGACACATTGTGTCAGGAAGATCAGCGAGGATAACGAGGATAAACGAGTCGCAACCTGGGAGAACATGGTTGTTGCATCGTGCAGGTGCAAGGGTTGATAGCCAGTACCAGGACTTTGAGCAAGACTAGAGAGGTCGGTCGACAGCAATCAGCTGTCCCGTCCGAATGGTGGACCATCTATATGCATGTATTGTCTTCCTGCTCCATCCTCGCCGCGCTTAACCTACTTCTAAAGATGTTTGCCGGGTCATCACTAATGAGATAAACAGAAGAGCATGCACTGGTTGCACTACCACAAGCCTGGTATCGTGCGTGCTGATCAGGTACAGAGAACTTGTTCATGCCTGTTACGAAGTCGTTCCACAAGAGGAGAAAATCTGTTGCTATTAAAGGGAGGACATTCGACGGGTTCCGACGTGTTGTAAGTTGTGCCGTTGTGAAAGAGGAAACGGACAAAGATTTCGTCACTCGGTGTTCACGAAGTCGAGTTGACAGTAGTATTCGGACCGAGTTTTCAAAACAACGAGTTGGCATAATCGGGCACCCCATAGAATTCAGGACTGATACTTGTCGAATTCATCAGGCCGAAGAGGGAGAGCATGCCAGCATGCGCGCCAAATTAAACAATTCAGCTTCGATCTGCCCTCATCGGTGTTGATCGTGTTGAGAGCTTCGTCGAATTCAGCATGGAACCTGCGATTACACTGTGGCGCGAACAATGTTGCCAGACGGCCGTCGTCTAACTTTATCTGTCACTTCGCCTCATTACTGTACGAAGTAACAGCTGCCGAGCTTGTAGAGCTCGGCAATACCGTCATTCTCGTGGTATCATTCGCCGAAAAAGACTTTAGTGAGCTTGGCACACCGCTAACGGGTCATGGTCGCTTCGAACTTGATTCCATAAACTATAAAATTGTAGATTGCTGTTTTGAACCTTCCAAAGAAGTCGTAGTATGAAAACTGCAGTTTCACAGTATCCCGAGCCAAAACGAGTTGACAACTTGGAGTGGCTCAAGGCCTCTAGCGGTATGTGGCCTGCCATTTAGTGCAGTGGCTTTAATTATCCTGTGCACACGGACCTCAGCAAAATCTACTAATGTTGTAGCATGTCAGCTCCTTGGTTTCCCATATACGTGTCACGCTTTACAAAACCGTAGTCGGAACCTTACGCTACCTGTCGGGTTGATAAAGTTGCGTTCAACCCTAGCAATATCAGCATATCAATCTGTCTGCACACCTCTAAGTCGGACGACACTACGACACATCCGCAACTCCAGGCTTACAATATGACGGGCACGCCCAAAGAGCGTGGCGCTCCGCCAAAACAGAGCGACGTATTTACAATCTTCAGGCGTAAACTCTTTACATTCCTCAAAGAGACATGGAGAAGTATTCTATGCCTTTGTGTTATAGGAGCTGTTACCGCTGGTGTATGTGACGCTTCAAACGAAGGGAAAAGTAAGAAACTGACCACCCTCTAGGTCTGGACAGCTCCACATACCTTCGATCGACTCTTTCCTGTCACGTTCTTTTCGACCTCTAATGAGATCGTCTGGGCTCAGTTCGCTTATCCTTACAACGAGCCTATCTTCTCGTCACTTGCCGCGGCACTGGTCTGCATCGTCATCCCAATCGCCGTCATCCTCTTCGCTCAGATCTGGTTGCGGAATTTCTGTGACTGTGCAAACGGCATTTTGGGACTGGCATACTCCATACTTACTGGAACGTGCCTACAGGTCATCCTTAAGAAGACAATCGGCGGTCTTCGACCACATTTCCTTAGCGTATGCCAACCTGTCATCCCACAGCAAGCAGGCGGAGTTGGGTTCCAGAATATTATGTTTACAGTCGATCAGGTCTGTACTGGTACGGATAAGGGTAAGATTCGAAATGCGCTTGAATCCTTTCCATCTGGTCACTCAGAGATCGCTTTCGCAGGCTTCTTTTATCTGTCGATTTGGCTATTCACGCACCTTGGCATACAGAATAGGTACCGACCTGGATACTGGAGGATGATCGCCTGCCTCTTGCCTATACTACTTGCGACCTACCTTGCCAGCACCCTTGTCTTGAACTACCACCACCACGGGCACGATGTGATTTTTGGCAGTTTGATCGGCATCGTAACTTCCACTTTTGGCTATCGCATGGTGTACAAGAGTGTGTGGAACAGGAGGCTCAACAGAATTCCATCTTGCCATGACAACCATGAGCAGGATTGTTTTCTGCCTAAATAGGGCAAATGGGACGATCGAGAACGAGAATTGAATATACCCACTCTTGCCCTCATTGATTATTCTATGAGACATGTACTTGACTTATTTGGAGTACTATGGTCTGCCGGGTAGTTGCAAGCTGCATTGGCGAAGACTTACGCATTAATGGATGTTTGCCTACAACATGTCGGATGGAGTGGTCAAATCCATCGTCTAGTAATAACCCTTTGCATGTTGCTTTCCAGCTCCCCTCACAAGGAATGTTGAGCATGTTCAATCTAGTAGAGGGGAGACTTGTCTGGATGGATAGAGGCATATTACTAATTGACCTGGCGCACAGCTGTGGTACGGTACAACATATACGAGAGTGTCAATTTGCAGTTGCAGAAGACCTGGGGAGTCCTTGCAACGGTATATCGTTCTACCACTTGTGACGAGCATTTCACGTAGTGTACAGCAGTTACGAGACCACAAGGAACACGCACGAAAGTTATCTGCGTTCTACAGAATTCAAAGATGTATCTAAACCGCTGTGAGTGTTAGGATACTTTTGGAACACATCAGTACAAGAATAGGCGTGACAACAATTCGGTGGGCTTCATTGCCAGCCTCGATACACGCCTCCTCTCATAGTCTATTTCACAGATGAGCACTTTACCATCTATTCAAGTATTTTGGTCGTCATGTCGCGAGGAATTATTTGTGCGTAAAGCATGCTTGATGTCCATCAGTGTGGCTAGGTGACCACTCATGGCAGTGCCAACCCGGATGGGTCGACGACTCGGTCGAGGCCAGGTTAGTACTAGTACAAGCCACAAAAATCCTTGGAAAGGAGAATTATGACATAAACACACGCCGCTGATCCGTGCCAAGCATAGTCGGCAGATTGTACCTTGTCGTAGGTACTACTGTGCCTGGGAAACGCGGAGCGAGTAGAATAGCTCGATCCACTTACTGAAGACTCTCGGATTGATGCTCCACCTCGCCACAGCCGGACGCCGATTAGTACTTGGCACGATCAATCCACAGCGAGAACGCTGGCCTTTTATGCGTCCTCGGCATACTTGAGTTTGCCTCGATAGCAGCTGTTACTCAATTCAGCGTGGCGTGCAAGCACTGAAGCACAACATAAGAGCTGCTCGAAGTGTGTAGAGATCAAGAAATGTGCATAGACCACATCATCTGGGGCTAAGCCACACCAGGTCTCGAACGCCAACGCTTCAATCGTTCGTCGTCGCCGCAATTGATGATGATAATGAGCGGCAAGTAGATCGTGTGAGTACGTCTACATGGACTGTCAAAAGAAATGTTCCTTGTCCATGGAGCAGATCGAGCCTTAGCTGTCTTGAAGATATTTTGAGGACTGGAGAGCTGCGACTTATCATGAACTGTGTGAGTAGAATCCAGGCTATGTCCTAATAGCCGTTTAGCAACCGCCCTGAAACCACAACAGCGACGCAGCCAAGCAAATGTTAGTCAAGCAGTGAAAGACAAATTTCCCGAAGTAGATTGACTTGTAGGCTTTTGCTAATTTGTAGTGCTAGCCATATCGACCATATGCACAGCCGGCAGCATGACGCTGAAATGGATCCATTTCACTACGTGGCTCAGTCTGTGTAGTCTCGTTACCTAGGCAGGCTTGTCGTGGAGAATGATTGAGTTGTATAAGACTTCGCTTCCCCTAAAGTCACTCAAAATCTTCAACAATCCAGTGACCTTCAAAAACTCCTTTACACGAATTAAACAATAAGCATCTGTACCTCACGACTCGAGAAACTTGACAGTCGCCGTCATCAGAAATGCATTCCCACAAGATCATCCTCTCCATTGTCGCCAGCTTGGCAGCCGTCTCTATCGCGCAATCCAGCGAGAGTGAGAACGACAACGAGAACGGTACCAGCAGCTTGAGTATCACTTCTCCAACAAACGCGGTTTCCAGTGTTGTTGCTACTGCCACCAGTACTGAGGGCGAGGAAGACAATGACAGGTCCTCATCTACCCTTGTAGCAACCACCACCAGAACCGAGGGTGAGGAAGACGGTAGATCATCATCCACTGTTGTTGCAACCACTACCCGAAGCGAAGGCGAGGAAGATGGCAGGTCATCCTCTGCCGCAGCTGCTACTACCTCTGCTGCTGGCACTACCTCCGCTGCTGCTGGCAGCACTTCCTCCGGACGAGAAGAAGACAGCAGATCCAGCTCTTCTGCTGCTGCTGCTGCAACCACCACTTCTGCAGCAGGTGCTGCTATGATTACTGCTGGTGCTGGTGTAGGGTTGGCTGCCATCATTGGAGCTGTTGCTCTTCTATGAGACCGCTGTTGAAGCATGAACAATCGTGGAGCGGGACGGCGAGGAACACAAATGCAATAGGCACTTTCTTGGTTGGGCGTGAAGAGTGTGTTATACAACAGTGTCTTCTACCTCAGCCTTGTTCACGCCTATAAATAGCGGCCTCATAGGTGTTGGCTGCATCCAGACCAATCACAGAGCTTCTGACCCGGATTGAATTGATGTATGCTCTGCTCGCCCTGTTTACTCTGCTTGCTCTTGCGACGGAGTGTGCATGCCTAACATACCTAACGTGCCTCAGAGAGCACATTAAATATATATACCAAACTAAATCCTTACTCTTTTGTAGACTCCCTGTAGTTAGCCTAAGTCACATCTCACCTCCACTAGTCTCAATTAGCACTCCCAGTCTAGTACCAATGATTGAATACTTTGTCCTACTACTAACAGTACCAACCTAGAACCCACCTAGCTTCGTCATCTGCATATGGTTTAAAGTGTCAAGGAGATATCTAACACACTGGTACACTTCAGTAGCAATAGCAATGTCATTCCCAAGAGCTAAGCCTGTGGTTGCTAATGCCCTTCCTAAATAGCATTGCCAGAGATAGATTCACAAAAGAATACCCAAAAGTGGTCATGTCCCTCTGTAAACTTGAAAATAATCAGTGGGATTGGCAGAAGCTCTTGATTGATTGTTTACAAGTTTACCACAGTACGGTATATAGATCTTTGTGGGTATATTGCGAGACAGTAGCCATGTGGTCACCTTTGCCTTGAAATGGTTAGCGCAAATTGCGGCAGCACTGTTGATAGGTATTCAAATATGAGGATGTAAGGTTGCAAAATTTAGTTTTTACTTGACTTGTTTCATTCTGTGACAGCAGATGACACAACAGTATAGGAGTCGGTTATCACGCAAGTTCCCAGCTTCCGGGTAAGCGAGGCCGGTCATAGGAGCGGGTGATATGTTGGCTGTTTAGTGACAAGAAGTTTGCGCACAAGAGGGAAGGTACTTTCCAAATTGTTTCCAACAACATTGTAATGCGTCAGGATTTACAACCCTGCGTGTCTTTTTATGTAGCAAATTAGGTGTGTGCCAATCTATGTACATTTCAACGAGATACTCAAACTCAGAGACCGTGCAGTCACTGCAATTTCTTCTAAGATATCTCCAGGTTTTACATCGTACTGTGCTACTCTCGTGCCCAAGTCGGTTCATACAATCGAGGCTCGGAAGCACCGAGGAGCGAAGTGGAAGGAACGTGTTGAAGCTATAGGGATCGATGGAACATTCTTTAAGGGCGAAGAACTGCTCACAACCGCGTAGTCAAATCAACTTCATCTTCTTTGCCAGGAGAAGGCTGACACTGACAAAAAGCACAATCACACCGAGGATCCCTCCGAACCAACTGTATCCTGACAGATCCTGTCCAGGTACGTGCACATTCATCCCGAACAAACCGGTAATCAAATTCAGGGGTACCAGAATCGTGGCAACAACCATAATCTTGGCAAGCGATCTGTTCGTGTAGTTGCCCTCGAGAATGCTGTCAACGCTCGACTGAGCCAGATAATTCGCATGAGAGCGGCTGAGCATCTTCTCAATATGACCCACGTTGCTCATCACGGTGACTACGTGGTCCTGAATGTCGCCAAGATAAAGGCCGATGTCACCACGTGGAGTAATTCTGTACTGCTCGTTACAACGTTTGGCGAACCCTTTGATAACATTCGCCTTTCCACCAAGAGGCCGCATTAAATTGAGGACACGCTTGCGGCAGTCGCCAATCTGTCGTAAGAGAGCAAGGAAGTCGTCCTCCCGAGCGATGAAAACCTGGTCTTCGATTTTTTGGGATTCAATTTCTGCCTCGTGAATAATAGGTGCGAAGGAGTCTACAATATCGTCAATCATGGCATAGCATATGTAGTCCGGACTCAGGGAGACGAAGTCACCTAGTTTAGAGATGCGGTGGCAGACATTCTTCGCATGCGGGTTTGGTGCGTAGCTAAAGCTGAGAACACCATCGGTGGTGACAACGATTTAAATATGAATAGCAACCAAACAGTCGTCACATGGTTTATTCATCTCGAATGAGCGGAAGCAGACGAAACAGTATTGTGAGAAGAGCTCCACCTTCTCACTAGCTTCCTGCGTTTCAATGTCCTCCTTTTTCAAACGATGGATTTTGAACGCTGAGGCAATAACGTCAAGTTCTGCTTTGGTGGGGTTAAGGACATCAAGCCACCACACTCCACCCTCCGGTCCAACATCGAAGAGGTCCCGCAGATTGGAGCCCTCCACGATAAAATCCACTAATTGCTTTGCGTACCTTGCCTGCCCCAGTTTTGAAGTGAAGGACAGGAATCGTCCCAGCCCTGTCTCACTCACTTCAGCCATTTGTGGGAGGCACTTCTCGTCAGACGCAGCACGGACACCGGTGGCAGAAGTCGACGCCAGTGGATTCACATGGAAGTTTTCTCCACCAAGAACGATGTCCAAAGGTTCATGCTTGCTTGTACTGCGCACGTCGTGAAAGACTTTGGCCACTGAATTGTTGCTGACCTGACTTGTGGACGCCGGCTGGCCCTGCATTTCTGATCTAGCACAAAGAGCAACATATTCTTCGAGCTCTTCGAAGTCAATGGTAAAGGTCTTTGGCAGGCCTTCGTCTGTAAGCACAGCGGTACCTTCGACCGGAGAGTTGTTTGTCCTAAAAGGAAGCGCAACAGCAACATTGGCATTGCTTTGAGTGAGTTGTCGTGCATTTTGTGAGCATCGTCTAGTTTTTTGAAGTTCAATGAAAGACTCGGAACGGCTGTTCGCGGTGTTGGCTCGCTGACGTCTCCGTGGCTCTGCAAAAGCTTCAACAGGGATCGCAGGCGAAGCGGAGCGTGACGAAGAAGTGTCTATTGCAGCGTCGGGTACGGTACTGTCTCGAGTGCCACCGGCGCGTCGGGTGTCTGGCCGAGCGGAAGTACGCCTGCCACATCCTGGTAGCGCATGGGATTCCTCGCTGGCTTTATTGCTGGTTGCATCCTCAAAATCTCTCAACGTATTGACATTGGGTGTTGGTTCAGAGACAGCAAAGGTCGTCCGGTCGAGACGATATCAATGTGAACAAGAAAGTTGCCTGGTCGCTCTGGTTGATGCAGCTCTGGCCCAGGAACATCAATCTTGCTCCCACGTCGACTGCCGCAATGGAGGCAATCGTCCACTGTGGTTGACAGAGCCGGGATTCAAAATTCCATATCTGTCGCACATTTTGCCCTCGAGAGCCGATCATTCGAAGAATGCAGCTAATAATGAGCTGGTTTGTATTCTCCTTCGCCTTCTTGCAGATGTCTTTCATGTGGGTTACCTAACGGAGACCTTTCACAGGAACTTCGGGTTTCGTTTCGGTGACGAGGCTACTTTGTAGATACACTCTTCCTCTCCGCCAGTGTTCGGAGCAATCTGTTGTTCCCAGGCTTTCAAGCTCAGTTGTCGGACGTGGTGTCAGCTCGGGCTGCAGGAGGAAGACATGCTACCTAACAGTGGTAGGGTGTATTAGAGTAGAAAGGTGTCAATTTCAGCAGTTGAACTTCTTTAGGTTACTTTCCTCAAACAGGTCTTTGATTGGCAATTGAGTACCGTAAGAAGGGAGAAGGGGCTATGCGGCATAAATCGAGGCTGTGCAAGTGATTCTGAATCCTGCAGCTCAGGTACAATTTGACCGTAAGATCCGGTGGCAGCCTGGTGACGACATAGCAGAGGCATGCTCATCCGACGATATGCACTACCCGTTAACGTTGCACTGCTAGGTGACAGCATTGACGCTGCAGAGGTCTCGTTAATGGCGAAAGAACTGTTACGGCCTGTGACATTCACGACCGTTATGCGACCAGAGGGAAGTCACAAGCAGGTTAGGCGAAGGATGCCTGAACGAAGGAAAAAATCAAGCAGAAATATCACGTGATGGAGATACGGCCGATTGAGGTCGAACGTATACAAGGTTACCAAGGTCGCGCCTTGGATCACCTTGTATGACCTCGTAAAAGACAACTACAAACACCCCTACTCGTGCAGATGCGACTTACGTTGAATACTCATCGGTCACCACTGCCATACAGTTCTAACGAGTGAGACCGACTTGAGGTTCTATTTGTACACTCACGTGTCTTGTAAATACTAGGTCTGCCTTCGAGCCTTGCCTCATAACAAGAACTCAGCATTGCGCCTGTGCTGATGCTTGTGTCTTTGCCGCCAAGACTGCCTGGTGATCATGGTATTGGAAGCTGAGTAAATGGTGGGATATTCTCTACAGCAGTAGTCCTACGCCTGGTACGCAGGGCGAGATGGACGAAAGTGTCAATGTAAGCATCAAATGGCTCAATTATGCATTGTGGCATGTGTCCATTCATGCTATTTCTGTTTTTGTAGCAAAGGTAGCGTGGCCATTCTGCAGACGCGTCGACTTGGCACATGTTACGGATTCTTCGTTCCATTGTGGCTGCATCGCATCACTGGAGGGCCACGGAAACACAAGCACAATTCTGAATGAACAAAGAATATTTCGCCACGAACACTTTGCATGACCTCGTCTCAAGAGCACAGCAATATTGGTTAATCGGAAGCGATTCTACCCAGGTCAGACGCTGTCGCTATCACTACCACTCGACCTCTTCTCAGCTGCATAAGCGACAGTCATTGCATGAGACTGCTTCCTCTTTCGTAAGACAGTCAACAGTACCCCACCAATAATTGCTACCACTGCCAGAGTAATGCCTGCTCCAATCCCGCCAGCTGCTGCGTTCGACAACGCTGATCGAGAAGAAAATGCTGTAGTTTTCGAACTCGGACCTATAGCGGCAGAGGAAGTTGCGTTCGCTGCTACACAAAAGTCCTGTGTGGATCCACAGGCCACACACCACTGTCTGACAGAGTTGATAGCCCGGCTTCCAAGTATGTCCGCGAATTGACCATATGGTATTGCCAGCTCGCTTCCGCCAAAAAGTGGGTATACGGCCAACTCATCCGAGCCATCGGTTCCATTTCTAAACAAGAACCTCACCTTCAGGTCATGTCCCACCGCATCCTCAGTAGGAAAGCTGGCAGGACGCTCAAGGTCGCCGGCTTCAGTAAAAAGTTCAAATGCCATGCTGGCGGCATATTCCGGCAACCCATAGAAATTCTCGCCCGCCGCTGTGAGATTAGTCAGACCAAAGAATGCAAGGAATGTATCGTAAGAACCAGCCATCAGCTGGAATTTGTTCCTGACCGCACTGGTATCGATTGTGGCTTGAAGGCGCTGAAGGATGGCACCTGCCAGACTCATGCCGCCGATAGATCGACCTGGCTGTGACGCGTTGAAGTTGTGGTTCCACTCGTATTCGTTGGCGAAGTATCGTAATTGATCCAGGTCGTCTGCAGTAATCTGAGAGACAATCGACCCATTGTGAATCGTCGCGACATTGAGAAGATCAAAGACGTCGTAGGCATTCTTGTATGTAACATTTTCCTCACCCATGACGGGGGCAAGTAGATTCGCCAACTGTGAGTAGAAATCTGACGTCTTGTCGAGTGTTGCCTTGTACTCTATGCTTGCAGTGTAAGATTCTGAAGCTCGAGAGTAGGCTGGGCAAGCATCGTCGCCCTTTATCCAGATGGTGTCCGGGTCAGTTTCACCCTCTCCATGGATAAGAATGAATTGATACCCGTTGAGTGGACCTGTTGTGTTGGAGGTGATGGTGAGCGCCTTCGTGGCTGATTGTGACTCGAGCTCGTTGAGCGGAGGATACAGACCCTGCAGGAAGTTCGTCGCACTCTGGTAGAGGACTGCTTGGTCAGGAGCTCTGGCCCATACTTGTTGGTTGTTGACTTGATTCGACGCAATTCCCGCGATCCTGTTGGCAGCACCATTTTCGACGTAACGTTGTCTGTAGAATCGGCCTGAGTCATATAGTTGAGAAGCACCAAGATTCGTCATCTGGTAACCGGAGTGGTACTTTGCTGTACGGTCGCCGTGTCTTGTGAAGACGAGAACGCCATGGATTGTCTCGGCGATGACAGGTGTGACAGCCCACACGATGGCCAAAAGTGATCGGATAGACATGCTGAGACTTCAACAAAACTAGTGGCTTGCTGTGCGTGTCAACATGTTCGTTCCTCTCTAATTGGGATCGATAGCGGCATAGGTATTTATGTCTGCGTTAGCACGAAACTCGTAAGCCAACTCCAAGGGATTAGCTCGTCTGATTCACCCCATGACTCACTTGTTCTTGGCATTGATAGGATTTCTCCGGCTGTGATCAATCAGAATGGGAATGTGCATTGCCAAGACCCGGAACATCTGCATTGAGCTCGCCGACGGTCTGGGCTTAGGGCAATGCTGGTCTGGTGCGATTCTGGTACGTCATCGTGCAAACACATTCAATCTCGCATACTGACAGTCAACAGTGTTGTTTGCACGGTCTTTGTGTATTTCTGAATATATGAAACTAAAGGCCTTGGCTCAGCTTAGAGCAAGTCGATGAGCTCTACGCTAAGGTCCCTCAGGCCTGGAAATCTAGCGGCTTCGTACTAAGTGTCAACTTTCAGGGTGTTCAGGATCTTAGGAAGGGTAGTGAAGCGCTGTAGGCGTCCCGTCTTGATGGAGATCAGTAAATTCCTATCTATGATTGTGGGACTGGAGAGCTAAAAGAGTGTGCACAGAAGCTGGTCGTGTGCTCCTGGTGTGGTCAGGCCGGACCGGTACAGGCTGAGCAACATCGTCCATGTTTACGACGAGGATTGAGCTTCCCTCCTCTGAGTTCGACGTCGCTCTCTGAGCAGGGTTCTACGGTTGCGAGACCCGCGAGGTCTGCCTCGTCTAGACTTTTCCGGTTCCACTCGGCTCTCTAAGACTTCCTGGACAGTAGCTCGATCAACGTCATCCGAAAGCACATCCACACATGGTACGCCATCAGTGTACCACCAGTCAGGTACGGGCGGCACATTGACTGTAACTGACACCACTTGCTGCGCTGTCTTTTGTTGAACCGACTTCTTTGCGTAAAAGATTCCGGCCGCTTTGTGACCACCAGACAAGCAGTCGTGGGCCGAGTGTGACTCGGCCATCCCTATATCGTCTACTGTCACAAGCTGGCTGTTATCCTGATGATAATCGCTTTCTTCTTGTACTGTGGTCGGACCTGAGACTGCAACAGGCGTACTGGACTTGGTCCGACCATTGCGAGCGTCAGGGACTCTTCTTTTCTCCAGCTTTTCCATGTCCTCGACCTCCACACCACCAAGATTGTCGCCTGCCTGAACCACTTCCGGTGGCGTTGCGAACACAGCCGGATTGATATACGGAAACGAGAGCTTCCGCCGGCCATGTTCGAGAAGAGCTAGAAGCCGATGGTCGGCCGCAACATCGATGCAGCTCGCTGGACCATTCGACATGATTCGTTAGATGCAGTATCAAACCATGTTCGAACATTTTCCGGTTGAATGGCATGAACGCTGTGATTGGTATGATATTTGGAAACGCGGGCTTGGTGGGGTGAATCGTGGAGCTGCAAATAGCCGATGCTCGTCAGAATCCTTCGACTTTCGTGCTCCTAGACAGGACTACAGGAGGTCTGTACCACCGCATGTTGATGACTCGCGAGATTCACAACTGACGAAGTGTCCTCCCGACAA